CATTTTCAGTTGAATTTCTGCATTGCATTTTTTTTTCAAATTTCAATTTAAAAATCATGTTCAAATTCTGATCCTAATTCACTCCATATTTTCTTTCAGCAGCATCACTTCAGTCACAAAAAGGTCAGTTTTCACCTCAAAGACAAATAGAAAAAACACAGATCTTTGAGTTTCAGTTCAGCCTTCTGACTTGAACAAGGACACAAACTAAGTGTTTCCATATTTAGAATAAGCTTATTGGCTTTTCTACCACTCTGTACAATCAGAGGGCTTTGCTGTCAGCTCAGTGACGCTGCACTTTGTCACACAGCGTCAGAAAGAAAGGATAATTCAGCTACAATTAGACTTTTTCTGAAACTAACTTAATGTACTTCCTTTCTTTTCCAACAACATGCATATTGGATCTATTTTGGAATTATACATTTTGTCTTTTTTTTGTATTTCATAGCATACATTAAGATGTCCTTGCAGTTTCTTAACTGCTACATGTTTATAATTGTGTAATTTTTCAAAATACTGGGAAAGATTAGTCTCAGTTTTTAGGTTAGTTTAGTGCCTGACTGTCATTTGTTTAAAGAACTGGCATCCCACAAGGTTGTGTACTTTGCCCCATGATGATTATGCTTCAGCATCTTGCAAAATGATTTATAAAGATTTCATCTTAAGGTTACAAACATAAATGTCTGTTAGGGCTGGGACGTTGATGATTAAAAATCGCATTGGCAAAACACTTCTTGTATATACTGTTGTTTTATAATGATCAGATTCGTGTTTCAACTAAGAGCAAAAAGCAAAATATGAGCTTGATTTTTTGCCCGTTATTTGTCCAATTTATGTGATTTTGCGAGTGTAGAAACCCAAGCTCTGTTGAGTTAATAAATTGGTTCATTAATATAGCTCTATTGTAAATCTGTCGAATTTAAAGGCTAATGCACAGAGTATAAAAGTATATGGCGTCATGCATGCACAATCTGCAAATAGAATGATTCAATAAATACATGCACGGCATATTACATGCACACCATCTATTTAGCACTTTTGGCACATCTGTATTATTATGCTCTATTAACACGTTATATTACACGATTTATAGTCTTCACTGACTTCATAATGACTATGCAATGTGATGTGCTGACTTTTTGTTATAAGCTAAATTAATCTACTAATGCAATGAAACAGTAAGTGTGTGTCAAAGTGATGAATTCATATTTTATTTTAAAAGTCTCAAGTTCCCCTTAAAAATGAGAACATCATCGTTGTTCGATGCTGTAGCGCATGTATTGTTCACATTGTGACCGGTCTAACTAGGGAGTACCAATATGGCGTCCGGTGGCTTCATTTCAACCCCGTACTACCAACGGGCAATCAGCAATCAATAAATAAATAGAGATCAGTGATACCAACGTTCACTAAGCTAATGATAGAGTCCTGTTGCAGCACAAATTCTCCAGCCAGTCCACATTAGGCAGAGGCTGGCGGAGGCAGCAGTCTAAGCAAAGATGCTGAGACTTCCTGATCCACACACACCTCCTTCAGTTCCTATGGGGGGATTTCAAGGCGACACCAGGCCAGCCCAGAGACATAGTCCCTCCAGCGTGTTCTGGGCCTTCCATGAAGCCTGCTCCCAATGGGACATGCCTGGAACACGAACAGCCTCCTCAGCTGGCTCCTTTCGAAGTGGAGGAGCAACGACTCTACTCCGAGCTCCTCCCTGGTAACTGAGCTCCTCAACCGATCTCGAAGGGTGCACCCAGACACCCTGCAAAGCGAACCCATTTCAGCTGCTTTTATTCGCAATCTTGTCCTTTGGGTCATTACCCAGATCTCATGACCATAGGTGAGGGTGGGAACGTAGATCGATCGGTACATTGAGAGAATTCCCCCCCGACTCAGCTCCCTCTATCCCTCTTCAACACGACAGTCCTATACAGCGACCGCTGCACCGATCCGTCCGTCAATCTCACACTCCATCTGTCCCACACTGAACAAGACCCCCAAGATACTTGAACTCCTCCACTTGAGACAAGGACTCTCCTCCAACCTGAAGAGGGGAGACCCGCCCTCTCCACTTAAAATGCACGTGCACGAGCCCATTTCTCCTCGTACACACCCCATTTAAAATGTGCTGTTCTCATTGCCCATTCAAGCTTACTGTCTCCATATACAGAGGACTATATAGTGGATTTTATAGTGAATTCAGTTAACCCTCTGCAGGCAGATGTTGTAGATTTGCAACAGCTAAATGCTACTTAGCTAATTATTCCACATACATATTTTAAGAGCTTTTGTTACTCAGAAGTACAACAGAAGGACTTAGTTGTGCATTTGCAACAAACTGTTTCTCTCCAGCTCACCAGATGGCACTGCTGACTCACTTTCAACATGGCTGAGTCCTTGGTGTCACTGAAACAGATTTTCTAAGCACCAATTTCATGTAAGTATCACTACCGATTTTCATTATTTTGAAGTCAATACTACATAAGATGAATTATGAATGTGTATAGATATGACACATGACATTTAGTAGATTGTATCTCCTCTGGGTTTTTCACCAGAGGCATCACAATTTCAATGTTGGATTAGCAGCTTGCGCCCAAAAAGGTACCAATGGATGCTACGTGCTTTATCTACTAGTTTGCCTATATTCTGAGCAACAGTTTAACAGATACGGCCTTCTCAAGAGGTTTTGAGATGTCGGTGGAGAAAAATTTGTCTCTAATTTTGTGAGAGAACTTTTTTATTTTTATTTTGTTTTGTTATTTTTTTGTTTGTGACATACAAATAAAGTTAACTTTCATATCAGATTCAGTCTTCAGTTCATTGCATGTGAAGGTCTCTCTCTCAAAAAAAAAAGTACTGCCCCATATGATCATTTTCTCCAAATATCAGATTTTTCCTTTAAATAAAACTTAATTTGAGCCTGAGAGGGTTATCTAAGAATATGTACAGATGATGGCTGCTTTTTGCTCTGTTGGTCACATAACTTCTCCTTCTCCACGCGGAGCCTACGCTGTCTTTGTTATTATCCACTTCTGGCTGCTCTGACAGCAAATCCCATAATGCTTTGCATGGAAAGCTCTCCGTGCAAAGCATTCTGAGATATATCTGCCTCCTCTGAGGCCTTTCTTTTCTTCTCATACACTTCGTAGACACTTTTTCTGTTACGACCCTCGGCCATTTTAAAAGAACCGAAATGAAAAAGGTGAGCTTCAATGACTGTTTGCAACCGTAGCTCACCACAGATATCCGCCTGAAAGCACAGAAAAAGATAGCTAACGGGGCGAGCACGTAGGACGGCCTCACGTAAACATTTCACCAGAATGATTGACAGTTAGGAGGACCACTTATTTACATGATCCACCTGGAAATAAAAGATCCTTCTCTAATAATAATAATAATAATACATTTTATTTGTATTGCACTTTACATTTAAAAAAAATCTCAAAGTGCTACAAAATTCATAGTTAAAACAAAACCGTATAATAAAAACGGTATACATAGTTAAAATGAGACATTACAGTAAAATAACATACGTAGTAAAAACAAAACAGTACAATAACCATAAAACCACACAGATAAAATACTAACTAATGTTCATAGGCTTTTTTAAATAAAAATCTCTATACCATTAACACCAACAAATTAAGTCCACATGTGAAAAAAGAAAATGCAATCCCAAAATAAAACTTTGAAAAACTATTTAATAGAATAATTTGGTATGTTTTCTCAGATTTTATTCTTTCAAAAAAAATATTTTGTTTTAGATTTTGTATTCAAATTTCTTAATCAGATTGAGTTTTATGAAGTGATAAATAACACTTAAAATACAAACTGTTAAAAATAATAAACAGTTAGTAAAATAAAAACTAAAAAATTTGAAAAAAAAATGTGTGAAAAAAAAAAAATAGCAATTAAATAAATAACATTCAAAAACAAGATAACGATTCACGAGTACACGAGAACTCACAAGTACACATACTGAGAAACGGCCATTGTCTGTGCGTACTATAATAATGGACCAAGATTCACTCCATAGTTAGACTTTGATGGCCTAGTTTGTTGTTTAACAAGCCAACTCTGCTTTAAACAAACCTGCTTTAGACAAAACAGGATCATTTATCTTGAAACTAAATCCTACAAATAGTTTTTATTTACTAATTACATTAATCCTTAATAGAATCTGTTGCACTATATTTTTACTTTGCTGTAACAGCTTAACACAAACACATGGTTTTGTCTTTTATAAAATTCTATTAGGATATGATGTAGCTTTAGGTTGTAAAATGGGAATATGTGAAAAGAATTCTTGGTTTAGTTAAATTAGACTAATAATAGTGTCTAATTAGTCAATCCAGAGGGGTTTAAGATCATTCTTTTTATTATCAGAACATAAGGCAGTAGGAAGGCTTGTTCCGGCTGAATCTGTGGCATCACTGAGTAAACCAGATGAAAACACTGCAGGGGTTTTCTTTTTTATGAGGCCTAAAATATATTACTACTGCAGGAAGTAGAAACCCAGAAGTGCCTGCAGAGAAGGATCAGGACGGGCCAACACGTGGCCGGGGTCCACCTTTTTTTTTTATCTCAGCAGGACGTTTTACATCCACTTATCACCTTGTTATCACAATCCTGCTGTCAGCAAACAGGAAGTTGGTGTGAAAATGTGAGGCCAAATGGTTCGACGTCCTACAGACTAATTGTTCATTTCAAGTTACCTCTCCCCCTCCCCCTCTATGCATCAACAAAGGATTATTTTAAACAAAAACAAAACTTTCTGTTAATATCATCATCTGTATATTTTGGTTTGTTCAAGTTACCTTTTTCCAGTTTCCTTATTTAATATTTTTGAGCAGTAAATGCAAACTCCAGTAATTCAGAAATGAATCACCTTCGCTCATGGATTATTGCTGCATCAGACCAAAGAATGTTTAGAAATGCGTCACAGACATGCATGTGACTCCCTGCACATGTTGCCTGTGTGTGCGAGGGTGCAGACTCACCCAGCGATGAAGAGCTCAGAGCCATGACCCCGTAGTAGGAGAACGGGCCGGTCTCAAACTTCATGTTCTCATTTCCAGCTTCCACCTCCACCCGACCCTAAAAAACACAGAAACATTTCTCTTACTGGCCTGTTGAGGCAGCGGTGTAGCTCATCTGACACTCCAGATAAAATATGTCTAGATGCTACACACTGAATTAGATGTTCTTCTAGGTTTTGATGATGCAAAACCACCAGGAAGCAAACTAGCTTCTCTCATTTCTACGATTATTTCCAAATCAATGATACAGAAAGAAAGATGGGTTTATTTCATCCATGTATGTGTGTATATATATTATATAAACACTACCGTTTAAAAGTTTGGGGTCACATTGAAATGTTCTGAAGGAGAAATGCTAATGTGGTAAATGACTATTCTTGCTGCAAATGTCTGTTTTTTGGTGCAATATCTACATAGGTGTATAGAGGCCCAGTTCCAGCAACTATCACTCCAGTGTTCTAATGGTACAATGTCTTTGCTCATTGGCTCAGAAGGCTAATTGATGATTAGAAAACCCTTGTGCAATCATGTTCACACATCTGAAAACAGTTTAGCTCGTTACAGAAGCTGCAAAACTGACAGATTGAGTTTCTGGAGCATCACATTTGTGGGGTCAATTAGACGCTCAAAACGGCCAGAAAAAGAGAACTTTCATCTGAAACTCGACAGTCTATTCTTGTTCTTAGAAATTAAGGCTTTTCCATGCGAGAAATTGCTAAGAAATTGAAGATTTCTACTGCCTTCAGAGGACAGCACAAACAGGCTCTAACCAGAGTAGAAAAAGAAGTGGGAGGCCGCGTTGCACAACTGAGCAAGAAGATACGTACATTAGAGTCTCTAGTTTGAGAAACAGACGCCTCACAGGTTCCCAACTGGCATCTTCATTCAGGGTTCCTACAGCATAAGGCAAGTTAAATTCAAGACTTTTTAAGACTTTTTAATGCCACTTGAAATAAAAATTTAAGACCAAATTCACAAGAAACAAGAAAAACCTGCTTGCGGCAACTTTACCCAAAGGTTTATTTCTGACCTTGTCAATGTCTTAACTCTATTTTCTATTCATTTCACAACGTATGGTGGTGAATAAGTGTGACTTTTCAGGAAAACACAAAATTGTTTGGGTGACCCCAAACTTTTGAACGGTTGTATATATATATATATATATATATATATATATATATATATATATATATATATATATATATATATATATATAAATGGATCTATCTTTAAGCATCACACAACAACCATCACCAAGACTTCTATAATGCAGTTTTACTGGCTTTGGTTTTTAAAATGAACCCAACAGTGGCTGCTGCTGCGCCACTCACCACATCAGCAGGGTTGCCAGATGTCACTGACTTACGTTTTCCAGCCCAAACAATGTTCATAAACCACCTGGATATACGAAATCTCGCCTAATTTGAACCAAAGTCTATTGATCTCTAAGGTCATAAATCTAAAGAAAAACCTTTTTACCCATAGACGGCCATCCTAAACTGCCAGATAGGGAAACATCCCAACCTGGTAACAAAGCACGCAAGACGGGAAACGTAGCTTTTAGATGCAAAACCCCATCATGCACAGCAACATATTGAACATAAATTTGCCAAATATAAGAGTAACATTGTAGTTTGGTTTGAAGAAAGCATTTTAGTTTTATTATAATTTACTTTGTTGCAAGCATTTTACAGTTTGAAGAAATAGAAAATGACACCATATGCAAACCGTCACAAGGATGTGCATGACAAGGAATGGCTATATATACTGCATGCATCATTTAACTAGTTAACATTGTATTACTCCTTGAGCTCCAGGAGTTATTTACTGTCACAGCCTGCTTCAGCCTGAAGGTAAGTGTTGGGGCCAGTATGATGTAAAGATGAAATTAGGACCGGCCCACCAGGTAAATGCCTGGTATCACAGATTACTAGTCCGAGCCTGTGCACGAGTACCAGAAGTGGTTCAGAGGCTGTTCTACGTTAAATCCCGGAGTCGTGTCGTGTAGCATGAAAAACAGACACTGTGCCACCCTATAAATATTACATCCCAACGCAGGTGCACAACTGCAGGACGCAGTGTCTATTTACCTCAAACACATACGCCACGTTCTTATAGCACCATCGTTTTTGAGTTAAAACTTCACAGGATCCTTTACCTAACTGCCAGATTTCCATGTTAATCTCTCAGCAGATAAGGCAAAAACCTTCTGTCTCACCATGACTTGAAAGCTTCAGGCAATTCTCACAGAGATGGAAATAAATCTGCACTCACACACATGAATTCACCAGATTGGTGAAACAGAGACAGGTGTGCTCAGGTTGCACAGACAGGTGTCTGCAGTCACCCTAGGTGTCAGCGACCAAGCGTTGGAGCTTTGGCTCATGCTTTGAATACACAAACATATGCACAAATACAAACCGATGTACCGCAACACTTTTGGACAATATTCAATCCCCCTTACTTTGACAGTTTATCATGTCTTACATATTCACAACACATGTCATCTCAAGGCACTTTACAGTTCAACCAGATCATACAGTCAAATCGATACAAAGTTTTCTATCTAAGGAAAACCAGTTGATTGCATTGAGTCATTGACTCAAATACAATCCCTCACACTAAGCATGCTTGTAGCGACAGTGGAGAGGAAAAACTCCCTTTTAACAGGAAGAAACCTCCAGCAGCACAACTTACATAGTGAGTTACCCTGTGTAATAAATATGGTTAGTAGGTAATTATACTCAACTTACTGCCCTGAATTACCCATTAATTGCCAATTATTTACACAGTAGATTCCATGTATTACCAGCTAAATACAGCAGATAAAGGTGCATAGTCACATTAACTGGTGGAGTTTTCTCCAGGGGGGGCTATAAATTCAAAATAGACATCTACCAAAAACCATTTAAAATACTAAGTTATCACACCAGTATGTTTATATGAATGCCAACAACAAAAAACATTATAAAAACACTTTATAAAAACAAAAAATGTCATCTACAGGTTTACTTTTTTTACATAAATCTTGCCCGTTTGAGGCTTGGTGAAGGAAAATCTGTCCAATATTGTGTCACAAACGTAAAAAAAAATTATGTACCAGTTTAATAATGGAGAAGCTATTAGTCAGCCTTATAATTTTTTTAATATATAAAAATTACAATTAATTATTATACTTATAATTATAATAAGTATAAGTAGAAGTATAAGTTATTATACGTCTCTATGAATGTTATAGATTTTCCTACCCATAAATATTACTATAAGGTATACATTCTAAGGTTTCGTATAATAGTCTGGAAGAGCAAAAAATTACGGAAGCGTATTGCATTTACCAAAGAAAAAAAAATCTGACAGCTTATCTCATAAAACATCTCATAAAACATCACAATTACGAGATAATATCTCGTAATTATGAGATAAGCTGTCAGATTTTTTTTTCTTTGGTGAATGCAATACGCTTCCATAAAAAATACCCCTTTCTCAGTGGCCGAAAAACCCGTAAAAGCTGAACAATCGGCTTTTAGTGGCAGTAGCAACAGCTCACTGATTCGTGTCTACCCGGTTCAAACGATTCGTTAAGCGGCCCGCGTTAAAATCACCTCGGCTCTGATCGCAATGTTGTATGAACACCAGAGCCGGTGTAGGTACCAGATCTGCTCGGGGCCCTGCCCTTTTCCTATGACATCATAATATGGCAACTCCACTATGATAAACTATATTTCATCCGTTTCTTACCAATTAGATCTCTTTCAGTGTCAACATATTATTACGGATATTTGCTATTATTTAACATTTCACTATCTAAAGTAGCTGAAAGTAGAAAACAACAATTTTTTTAGTCTTGAATTAAAGTACTGCCTTCTTAAAAAGAAAATTATTTTCGTGGATATTTCAGACAAAACAGCAGTTATTCTACTTGGAAAATGATGTTGGTGACACAAATTTAAAAGTATTGTAGCTTAATATGGCTAACTGACAGAGCTAATAGAGGCTAACCCTGTTTGTGACTAAATACAGCTAGACACAGCGCTACCCAGCTCTCTTCCTTTATAACATGGTCTAGCAGTTATTTTGTCCCGAATAAACAGATTTCTTTCAGCTTTGTTATCAATCAGGTAAAACTTAATCAGTCATAAGATGCACTAACATTACAGATGCTTTCGACTCGGCACATGGACGCTGCATTGTTATTACTGTTGCCGTCTGGGCAACCACAATGTTTCACGTCATGGGGGCACATTTAGCCAATCATATATCGTAACATCACTGCGATAGCAGATCTGGTACCTACATCGGGTTGACCTGCTAATTTACGTTACACCATTTAAACAATAAACCACACTTACTACGCCTGGCTTCCTGACATGTTGCTCTCCATTGTTTACTTTCCCGAATTGTGTTACTGATAATGGGCATGTTTAAATCCTGAGATCAAGGTTGCAGCAGGGAACTACAGCAGGTTTTGTGATAAACCTGGGCTGAGATGTGAGATTTTGGCCAAAAGTGGACACCTGTAATGAAAACTGATACAAGAAGTTTTATTTGAAACCAACGCATGTAAACTACTCTCCACAGCATTTTGAATGTTGTATGCATCCAACTCTAACACCATGATGCCCCAGTATTTCATGAGTATGAATGAGTCTATGCTCCTTGTCTGCATTCTGTTGCTTTTTATCCCCCACCCCCCTAGATTCTTTGCTACAAGGATGTGGATCTGTTTCTCTACACTCATGTCAACTTCTGTCGGAAACTAAACTGCCTGTGATTGGCAAATTTGAAATATAAAGTTATATATTCAGTGGAGCCGGTAAAAGAAATTCACTTCTACAACTAACTTTAGCCGTAAGGTATTCAAGGCCATGTTTAGTAGTTAAATCTGAGGTATTCCATGCTAACCTTAGCCATTAGCTCCGAGGTTTTTCCATGCTAACTTTAGCCATTAGCTCAGAAGTTTTACCAGCCTAACTTAAGCCGTTGGCTCAGAGGTATTCCAGGTTAACTTTAGCAGTTAGCTCTGAGGTATTCCAGGCTTACTTTAGCCGTTAGCTCAGGGGTATTCTAGGCTAGCTCTAGCTGTTAGCTCCGAGGTATTCTAGGCTAGCTTTAGCAGTTAACTCAGAGGTATTCCCTGCTAACTTAAGCCGTTAGTTTAGAGGTATACCAAGCTAACTTTAGCCGTTAGCTCCAAGGTTTTTCCAGGCTAACTTTAGCAGTTAGTTCTGAGGTATTCCAGGTTAACTTTAGCAGTTAGCTCCGAGGTATTCCAGGCAACTTTAGCAGTTAGCTCTGAGGTATTCCAGGCTAACTTCAGCCATTAGCTCAGAGGTATTCCAGGCTAGCTTTAGCTGTTAGCTCCGAGGTATTCTAGGCCAACCTTAGCAGTTAGCTCAGAGGTATTCCAGGCTATAGCCGTTAGCTCTGAGCTATTCTATGCTAACTTAAGCTGTTAGCTTAGAGGTATACCAAGCTAACTTTAGCCCTTAGCTCCAAGGTTTTTCCAGGCTAACTTTAGCAGTTAGCTCTGAGATATTCCACGCTAACTTTAGCAGTTAGCTCTGAGGTAGTCCAGGCAACTTTAGGAGTTAGCTCTGAGGTATTCCAGGCAAGTTTAGCAGTTAACTCTGTGGTATTCCATAGGAACTTTAGCGGTTAGCAGGCTAACTTTAGCAGTTAGCTCTGAGGTAGTCCAGGCAACTTTAGCAGTTAGCTCTGAGGTATTCCATAGGAACTTTAGGCGTTAGCAGGCTAACTTTAGCAGTTAGCTCAAAGGTCTCCTTTCATTGATACACATTTTATATTCAAATGAATGAGATGTTCCTGACCGACCGAACAATCTGGTCAGAGGTAATCACACCTTTGGATAGTAGAGTTACATGATAACCTCCAGCTTATCCAAGAAGATGGCATTCAGCACCTGGGTGGGAATCGCTGGGTTACATCCACATTATTTATAACTTAGGGATTCAATCTGTAGCTGCCTTTTAACATTTGCACCTCTTGTGTGTCTTGTTCTTTTGTGGGTGTGTATTCACCTGCAGGATGAGTACAAAGTAATCAACAGGTTTCCCCTTCTGGTAGAGAAAGTGCTGCGGCGATCGCTTGTCATTTTCGTTAAACTTGAGCTCCTGAATGACCTGTGGGTGTCTTAGGATCCTCAGCAGGACCTTCTCTGTGATCTGGAACGGGCTGAACAAGTTCACCTCTGGCAAGATAAAAAAAAGCAGAGAAAATATCAGAGCACATTCTATTATTTCTAATAGAAATAGAAGAAAAAAATAGTCCTATATCCCAGAATTTTATTAGACAATATTAGTATTGATTAGAAATACAGCTAAATGGATTTTAAATATGTATAATATTTATTGGGAAAATTTCATTTTATTGTCTTTTATATAACTTTTAAAACTCCAGCCACTAGGAGGCAGCGTAGCACCTGAGAGCCAATCATTCAGCTGCTCTGCATCAGCCACATTAGAGCAAAAGCAAAATTTTGTGAGAATTTCCAGATCGACGATGTTACAGAAATGGCATTATATAATTTTTGTTAATGTATCGAGATATATCCTCTTATATGTATCGTATCGTAAAATTCTTGCCTAGCTTAGCATTTGTTAACACAGGAGATTCACTCCTGCTGAAGTAGGATCTATGTCATCAGACAGGCTGAACTTTTTGTTATAGTCTGAAATACACCTTGCAACTAGGTACAAAACCAGTCATACAGAATTTCCTGTTTTCTACTTTATTATTTTCTGTTTAATTGAAAAATATGTTTAAAGTCGTAGGGAAGTGGCTTTTCAAAGCATAAGATTTCCGAATTCTCACAAGTGGTGCCCGATTTTATACGAGTGAATAAAGTGAATGTGATTGGTCGTTTATCAAGTGAGCGGGGTTGTTGTGGCGGATGATTTGCAAGCTTTTCGGTTCTGGTCAGTTTGTCGGTAGCATCTTGCTAACCAGTTAGCAACTTAGTGCTAGTAGGTTCCAAATGGGAAATTCAATTGGGACCAAATAGCACTAAATTGGTGACTTAGGCCCCGTCTACACGAAGTCAAAATGAACACGAAACGCTAATATTTTCCAGAACGTTTGTCATAAAGACGGAGACGTAAAATAAATGTGATCGTCCACACGAATGCATGAAAACGCTGCAAAATGTATGCCAGGCCTGTAAGTGGCGCTGTGGTGCCAAAGCAAAAATAGGCGACGAAATGTTGGGCATGCGCAGTAATATTTATACATGGTTGCCCTGCGGGTCCATTTTCGTGGTTCAGTCAAATTCAGGTGCTGAACTATGTCGTCGATATTGCTCTGTTCTTCCTGGAGATATTCCAGAAGAAGAAGATTCTGTTGTAAGCCCGACAGCAGGGTGAGTAGCATTAGCAGCAACCATTCAACACAGTACGGCGCCATTGTTGTTGTGATACTGTGTCGCGCACGCGTGTTTAGAGGCGACGCTATGACGCATGCGTGTAAGAAAAAAAATGTGGTTAGAGCTTAAAGATGGAAACGCGAAAACGGCGTTTCAAAATCTTCCCACTCTGAAGGCTTAATAAAAAAAAGATCGTTTACAGACCCCCAAAACGCCGGCTTTGTATGGATGAGAGGCTGGTTTGGTGAAAAATTTGTGCGTTTAGGCCAGGGTTTGGCTTCGTGTGGACGGGGCCTTAGAAACGACACTGTCAAGGAACGCTATGGAGGAGACAGGAGAGTTGTGTCGAAGGTCGTTGATGAGTCTTCTAATCAACGATGAGAAGACTTCTTTAACAAACTTTTTGCTATCCAAGTATTAATAGATTAATCGAAAAAATAATCGAAATATTAATCAGTTTGCCAAATAATCATTAGCTGCAGCTCTAAATACGACACCGAAAGAAATTCCATATAAGCGAATGTTAACGATTCATTGGATGAAACAAATTTGAATATATTAAACCGTTATTCAAAAATGAATCAAGGGTCCACAATTTCTTTGTATCCGTAAACCTATAGCTATATGTTGAGTTGATCATAAGAGAACTAATCTAAAGGAACAACTCTAAATCTACAAGAAAGTAGTTGAAAAAAAAACGGGTGCAAATTACTTTTCATAATTTGCTATTAGAATGACATTACATTTGCCTTGACTCTTAGATTTAACCCTCATGCCCTCGGACTTCACCTGTGGCTAAGAAACGATGTGCCGCCAACATGAGCTGAGGTGTTATCTTCACTTTACTGTCGCCGTCCTGCTTGAAGGCTGAGAAGTCTGGCTTGTTTTTGTGGGGGTCCACCTTCTTCCTGTTTCTGTTGTCGGCTGTAAAGAAATGGCAGTAGAAGGAGTGAGTGGCTGGAGACTGAAGAACAAGAACAGAAAAGAAAACTGATTATATGAAAACAGAATTATATTCCTTAGGTTTTGTCTTTTAAAATGCCTGGCAGAGAGATCTTGAGTTAGTTGACAAAAAGGACATTTTTACAGAACCTTACATTTGAAAATTTTGAATACAAAAAAGTCAAAAATCTTTTTTGGAAACAAAATTGAATGCAATCTGACAAAAAGAGCTAAGTCACTCTTAAAACCTTTTTTTAAATCGGTTTTCAAAGTTTAATTTCTGAAGTTTTTCTTTCAATTAATTGCTAGGAGCAATACTGGAAGTAAATTCACTCCATGTAGAGTACAACAGCAATAGACATATAACCAGATCACACAGCTACAGTTCCCCTATATCCAGTCTAACGGAGCTTCAGCTGTTCTGAAAAGAACAAAGTGTGTAAAGCTGGTAGAGAAGTAGACCAAAGGGCTTGGACCTAGAAGAGAAAAATATAAACAAATTTTCCTTCCACTTTACAACTAGGTATACACTGTTCCTTATGTACGCAGGCGTAAGTTGACATTCCTTTTTGTTGAAATTTTCCTTTTGTATTCACTCTATATACAAAATCTGTGTATACAAAATAACAATAAAGTTTGTCTATGTCTGACTCTAAAAAGTCCAAAGGGTTTAAAAACTTCATTGATAACCATGAACCTATAAAACAGAGACTGGAAGACAGGAAGCGAACAGGAAACCAGAGACAGATGAAAACAGAGGGCTTAAATAGAGCAGAGAACAGGTGCAGGCTAAAGGCTGAAGGACAAGACAGGTGAATAGGATCTACTGAAAAACAGCTGGCTCTGGCTAAAGGCTGGTTTATGCTCAGAAACCAGGTCGTCTGCTTGCGTGTGGCAGTGAACGCAGATATGCCCCGCCCCTTCTGCAGAAACTCTGGTGCACCTCTAAAAAATTGCAGGTGACCACAGACCGTGCTGCAGACAGGAGGCATCTGATTGGTCAAATCTACAGGTGCTGGTCATAAAATTAGAATATCATGAAAAAGTAGATTGATTTCAGTAATTCCATTTAAAAAGTGAAACTTGTATATTATATTCATACATTACATACAAACTCATATATTTCAGATGTTTATTTTGTTTAATTTTGATGATTACAAATGACAACAAATGAAAATCTCAAATTCATCATATCAGAAAATTAGAATATTGTGAAAAGGTTCAAAATTGATGGCCCCTGGTGCCACACTCTAATCAGCTAATTAACTCAAACCACCTGCAAAAGCCTTTAAATGGTCTTTCAGTCTAGTTCTATAGGCTACACAATCATGGGGAAGACTGCTGACTTGACAGTTGTCCAAAAGACGACCATCGACACCTTGCACAAGGAGGGCAAGACACAAAAGGTCATCGCTAAAGAGGCTGGCTGTTCACAGAGCTCAGTGTCCAAGCACATTAATAGAGAGGCGAAGGGAAGGAAAAGATGTGGTCGAAAAAAGTGTACAAGCAAGAGAGATAACCGCACCCTGGAGAGGATTGTGAAACAAAACCCCTTCAAAAATGTGGGGGAGATTCACAAAGAGTGGACTGCAGCTGGAGTGAGTGCTTCAAGAACCACCACACACAGACGTATGAAAGACATGGGTTTCTGCTGTCGCATTCCTTGTGTCAAGCCACTCTTGAACCACAGACAGCGTCAGAAGCGTCTTGCCTGGGCTAAAGAGAAACAGGACTGGACTGCTGGTGAGTGGTCCAAAGTCATGTTCTCTGATGAAAGTAAATTTTGCATTTCCTTTGGAAATCAAGGTCCCAGAGTCTGGAGGAAAAGAAGAGAGGCACTTCATCCACGTTGCTTGAAGTCCAGTGTAAAGTTTCCACAGTCAGTGATGGTTTGGGGTGCCATGTCATCTGCTGGTGTTGGTCCATTGTGTTTTCTGAGGTCCAGGGTCAACGCAGCCACATACCAGGAAGTTTTAGAGCACTTCATGCTTCCTGCAGCTGACCAACTTTTTGGAGATGCAGATTTCATTTTCCAACAGGACTTGGCACCTGCACACAGTGCCAAAGCTACCAGTACCTGGTTGAAGGACCATGGTATCCCTGTTCTTAATTGGCCAGCAAACTCTCCTGACCTTAACCCCATAGAAAATCTATGGGGTATTGTGAAGAAGAAGATACAATACACCAGACCCAACAATTCAGAAGAGCTAAAAGCCGCTATTAGAGCAACCTGGGCTATCATAACACCTGAGCAGTGCCACAGACTGATCGACTCCATGCCACGCCGCATTGCTGCAGTAATACAGGCCAAAGGAGGCCCAACTAAATACTGAGTGCTGTACATGCTCATACTTTTCATGTTCATACTTTTCAGTTGGCCAACATTTCTATAAATCCTTTGTTTTTATTGGTCTTCAGTAATATTCTAATTTTCTGATATGATGAATTTGAGATTTTCATTTGTTGTCATTTGTAATCATCAAAATTAAACAAAATAAACATCTGAAATATATGAGTTTGTATGTAATGTATGAATATAATATACAAGTTTCACTTTTTAAATGGAATTACTGAAATCAAAACTTCTTTTTCATGATATTCTAATTTTATGACCAGCACCTGTACATCCGCTCTTCGCTATACGTACTTCCTGTTTGGTACCTTAGTGACTTTTTATATAGAATAGCGAGGTGCGTGAGAACGCTGTGACCCTTTTTCCACCTGTATCCCCGCTCTTTTTGGCCCTCATGTCCCTCCGTTGTCGCACAAACTTGTCCCCATTTCCTCACCGCCTCTGCCGTATCTAGACCCAAAGCTAGTTCCTGATCGTCCCTCTTGCATTGTGGCATGGAAAATCATAGCGCAGAGCATGCTTCAATATTGGGCATAAATCAAAAGTATCTGCAAATTTAAAAAGCTCACTGCGACAAACTGCTGCAGGAGGATAACCAGCCCTTAACAGAGCACAATTAACCAGGGAAAAGAAACAACAGAACCCATCAAAAAATATAGATTAAATAAGAAAACAACAGCGTGAACACTGGCAACACTAAGAAATACAAAAGAACATCAGATAGAATTATCTACAGACACTAAGCACAAGAATATTCATTCCTATAACATTCCCTAACATAGAAAAGATATCAAAAAATGACAAGAGCAAGAGATGATAATAAAACAATAAGGAAAGTGCTGAGGGACAAAATAAAAGCATAACCTAAAACCTTGAGCTCTTCAACCTAATAAAGACATTACACCTTCTACCAATGAGCCAATGTGAGGATTAACAGATATGGCCACTTTCACACCATCCCAGCTAACTCTGACTCACTGTAGAGGTCCGACTCGTCCAGGATCTCTGACTTGATGATCTCCTCGATGACGTCCTCTAAGGTGACCAGTCCCAGCACCTCGTAGAAAGGGTCCCCCTCCCCCTCGTTGTTCACCTTCTGGACGATGGCCAGGTGGGATTTACCTACACAGAAGGACCAGAGGTTAACTCGAGGTTACAGCAAGCCGCTGCTCATCAACATTTTAAGACATAAATATAATCATAATAATAAGAATGTAGGACAGAGCCAGACGGAACAAAAAAGAATGAATTTGCTTTAGAGCAGAAGCTGCTTCTAAGACTTCAGTCTTCAAACAGATTTCTGCCCTAGCGAGATGAAAATAAATTTCCTTTCTTTCTTTTTTCCACTTTTCAAACATCCTTTTTGCCGTTGGATCTGTCATTGGATTTATATCACTGCCAGAGGGATAGACTGATGCCTTAATATAGCCCAGACAGGGATAAGAGCTTTAGAGAGAAAGGGGTTAGAAAAGCTGCCAGAATGAGATAAAGAGGAATGAAGTAAATACATAAGTCCACTCTTATGCACACTAAGTGTGCTTAAAAAAAAAAAAAGAAAACTCTACGTGTGCACGGGCAGTGACGTCTGCCGTCAGGAGGTAAGTAAAGAAGTCTAATCAGGTCAACGGGACGGAGGCCTGTCAGCTCGTTGACATCAGATACCAGAAGCTCTAGATTGGTTGGCTTCTAGACATGCAACTATGTGACCAAAGAAACAAAAAAATCACACACCTCTGCTTTCTTGTTATAAAGCTTTTATTTTTATTTTATGTACATAAGGTACCTTTTTAAAAAGTTCTTTGAACAACCTTAAAGAATAAATTTTAGTCCCTTACTCCCTGAGCAAGACCCTTAACCCCACGCTGCTCCACGCAGTGGCAGCCCACCGCTGCCTAAGGGGATGGGTTAAACGCAGAGTTGGTGAAGATTCACAGTCATCCAGGTCATAGTCATTCCAAAAATAGAGAATTAAAAACATTCCACTTGGGAAGCGAAACGTCTTCAAACGTTGAAACAAAGTCCAATGGATTGTTTTTAATTTTCTTTTTTTTTTGGTTCAATCAAGAGGTAAATTTCTCAAGAGTGAGATCAATAAAGTTCAGTTATTATTATTATAAAGGTTTAATGCAGGTAAAGCCTGTTGTCACCTTCTAAAACACTAGCCATGTTTCCATTCAAAAGGCATGGGAATTTTGAGCAAAGCTTTAAAAAGTCAAAAATAAATAAATAAAATGCAGGTAGGACGTGTCTCCATCTATTGGAGCAAATTAATGAGGCCATGTAAAGCGTAATGTTGTCATAAGGTGACGTTACACTTCCCTCTAGTAAACAGGACAGACAGACAGACAGACAGACAGACAGACATGAATTAACAGATATGGAATTATATACTTAACAAAAAGTGTGAAACAACTGAAAATATGTCTTATATTGAAGGTTCTTCAAAGTAGCCTCCTTTTGCTGTGATTACTGCTTCGCACACTCTTGGTATTCTCTTGATGAGCTTCCAGAGGTCGTCACCTGAAATGGTTTTCACTTCACAGCTGTTCCCTGTCAGGTTTAATAAGTGGGATATCTTGCATTGTTTCACGCTTTTTTACAAAGTATATAATTACACACGAGTTAAGTCATAGTTTTGATGCCTTCAGTGTGAATCTACAATTTTCATAGTCATGAAAATAAAGAAAATGCTTTGAATGAGAAGGTGTATATATATATATATATATATATATTAGGGGTGGAACGGTTCACAAATCCACGGTTCGGAGGCTGTATGCTTTGCTTTGTGCAGGCGGTCTGGAGCGCAGCGGGGCGGAGCGGAGCGCTGACGGAGTATGTGGGATTTCGGGGTTAGCCTGACATGTTGGTCATGTTGCTGTTAGCATAAACAAAACGTGTTGCACAGTGCTTGCACACTGTTGCACTTTTATCCACAACTTTCTTTCCGCCGTCATCGTAGGTCACTCTAAATGCAAAGTGGTCCCATACAGCAGACCTATAAAGTGCTGCTGGCGCGTCTTCCAACTCCTGTTCTTTCCCACTCGCCATACCCACACAATTCTCCACAACAACTGATTTTTTTCTGCTACACCCGGCTACGCTGCTTCGCTTCTTCTTCTTCTTCTTGTTTACTACTGGTGGTTGGCTTTGGTCGCAGTACCGCCACCTTCTGCTCTGGAGTGTAATCGCTTCGCCTATGAGAAAAAGGAGCAGCGCATGAACCGAATGAAACACACGCGAACCGAACCGAGACAGTCGAACCGAACGATTCTGACGGTTTTCATGAACCGATCCATCCCTAATAGATATTATATATATATATATATATATATATATATATATATATATATATATATATATATATATATATATATATATATATATATATATATATATATGCTGTAGCATGTTAAGTACAGCTTAAACTACAGAAGTAGCTATTGAAAATGTTCCCTACTTTCCTTGATGGGCCCTTGGCTGGTCCCCAACAATTCCTTTTAAAACATCAATCTTTGTACTAAAATATTTCTTCTGTTATGATTTTTAGACATTAAGATCTAAAGACAAGCATCATCTCATATTCAGACCCTGTAGTTCTGTGTGGAGTCAGAGTAAAAAAAATATGCAAGAGGGTATGGAGCTAAATCGGCCTCAATTTTCACAAATACACATATGGGATTCATACATGCACAGGACAAGATCCACACAAACACAGCGCAACTCACGCAAGCATAAAAGGTCCACACATGCACAGCACATGATTCGCCAACGTATTTCTGGTCCATAAACACTTAGAAATTAAATTACAAAGTATCAGCGGTCTTTAAACTTCACTGCATTTGTGTTTGGATGTTAAGACTCTCCTAACGTGCTTTAATACACAAATGCATTTTTTTTTGGGACAGGGGATGGTTTTCAACCAATCAATTTAGTCCGTTTTTTTTGTCGTAGTTTGTGCATAAAACAACAACAACAACAAAAATCATTCACTAGGTCAGTTAGACACATTAGGTTTAAAAACAAACATTGGATGTCCATTAGATCTTAGGTCTGGGGATTTGTCTTTAGGATGCACTATTCTCTGTCTAAAGGACGGGTTATACTCCTGCAGCAGTGTGTGGCAGTTAGCTTGTCACAGGTATAATGCAGATATTTTGATATATGTCCAATTTCGAAGCGTGGTCTGCGCTATGTTATTCCTCACCACAACAAGAGGGACAATGACGAACTAGCTGTGGGTCTAGATATGGCCGAAGCGGTGACGAAGTGGAAAAATGCAAGGGGCAAGTTTGTGCGACAATGGAGGGACATGAGGGCCAAAAAGCGCAGGGATCCAGGTGGAAAAAGGGTCCCAGCGTTCTCGCGCACCTTTCTTTTCTAGCGGGTCCATCTTTACGAGTCGGTTTCCACAATGGCGTTCATACAAACAAAACAAGCCGGTAAGGTACCAAACAGGAAATATGCATAGCTTAGAGCGGATGTAGGTTTGACCAATCAGAGGCCTCCTGTCTGCGGTCACCTACAATTTTGGAGAGGTGCACCAGAGTGTCTGCAGAAGGGGCGGGGACTCGTTTTTTCTCACTGGGACACGCGCATTTGACCTGGTTTCTGAGTATAAATCAGGCTCCACTGTAAGCGGCAATCTGCCAAGACCGACTGGGGTTCAAGGAGACAGAAACGGACATAGAAAAAAAGCAGAGATACCAAAGGCAACGGTAAAAGGCGGCCCCGTCCAGGAAACACAAAGCCAGGCAAACAAGCCAGCCAGCTCCCATGTCAGAGGATGAAGAGATACATCCAACCGGTCACATTCAGAGAAACAGGACTACACTGAAAAACAGGCCGATCTCCAAGATCTATAAAGAAAGGTGTTGATGGCAGCAGCACAGCTGATATTTCTCTAAAAATGGCGGAGTGTCTGCAGAAGGGGCAGGGACACATTTGCACTCCCTGCTTTCACACGCAGACATCCTGGTTTCTTATTATAAATCAGCCTTTAAATTCTGAAAATAATATGCAATGTTTATGTTTCTTCCAAACAGTAATCTAGCTTAGACTCACTGTTTGGAAAAAACTGATCAGCTTTGTCTCTTGCTTACCCTTAATTAATGCATAATAAAATGTATGAAGGTGTTATAATAACATATCTATAAATTACTTACTAGTGCCTGCAAGGAGAGCCCGACTGCAAAGTAGTGCTTGCATTTTTTTTACTTAAGTAAAAGAACAGATACCTGTGTAAAACTACTGCAGTAAAAATGACACAAACAGGTTTTAAGCTGTCTACACTATGTCAATTCTGTTCAGTTTATTTCTATAGCGCCAATTCACAACACATGTCATCTCAAGCCACTTTACAGATAGATCATGAAAAAAGGCAGATTCTATCTAGAATTCTTTCTGAATTAATATTTCTGTCAGGATAAGGTAGTTATGTTGTTCCTACTCCTGCTCCCCAGGGGCCCCTGCCCTGCATGATTTAGATCCGGCTCTGTTCCACCACAACTGATTCAAAGGAGGGCTTCTCTTCCTGCAACAAGTGCTGCACAAGACCTAAAACATGCAGGACAGGAGTCCCTGAGGAACAGGATTTGAACCGGTGATTTATGTAGTTTTAACTGCTAGTACTGCATGAGCAGCTGCAAGAAGGTGAAAAAAGAACTGCCAATAAACTGAATCATTAGTGCAGGTTTGTGCTGTTAAAATGACGGTTTGTGCTACTTTTGTGTGAGAGTTATTTAAGGTGATTTTTTGGGTCATGCAGAGGTCACCATCCCCACCCTAACATAATTGACCTCATTTCACTGGTGACATGAAGCACGTGAAGACTATACAGGAGAAAAACTCCTCTAGGATACACATGATGAGCATTCAACCATTTCTTTATTATTAATCCTTCTTTTCAGTGATTTCTGTCGCCTGAAATGCTCACAATTAAACTCCCATCCACCAATGAGTTCCTCTAAACGCTAACGTCAGCCTGAAAGTGGCCGCTGTCACAAACAGAGCCCGGCCTGTCTGCTCTGGCATACTGCAGTTGCAGCAGAGCTGTAGTCAGGCCCTGTTCATGCCATGACTCATCACTCCAACATCATCATCATCATCATCGCTCCCGGTCCCTC